CAATTCCAGGAATATGGTGACTCACAACCATCTTTAATGGGATCTGATATCCTCTTCTGGTGTGTCTGAAGACAGCGACAGTGTACTTACATATATAAAATAAATAAATCTAAAAAAAAAAAATTACAGCCAGGCAGTGGTGGCACATGCCTTTAATCCCAGCACTTGGAAGGCAGAGGCAGGCGGATTTCTGAGTTTGAGGCCAGCCTGGTCTACAGAATGAGTTCCAGGACAGCCAGGGCTATACAGAGAAACCCTGTCTCGAAAACCAAAAAAACAAAAACAAAAACAAAAACAAAAAACAAACAAACAAACAAACAAAAAATTACAAACAAAAGAAATCTCCATGTTAAGAGTTTAAGCTGGGAGGTGGGGAGTGGGGGCAGGGGTGTTGGAGAGATGGCTCAGCGGTTAAGAACACTGTCTGCTCTTTCAGAGGTCCTGAGTTCAATTCCCAGCAGCCACATGGTGGCTCACAACCATCTGTAATGGGATCTGGTGCCCTCTTCTGGCACACAGGGGTACATGCATGTAGAGTATCATATACATAAAAGAAATAACTCTCTTTAAGAATTTAAGCTGTGTGTGTGTGTCTCACAGCTATAATCCCGCTATAATCCCAAGAGTAGAGAGGGCAGTTAATGCAAGAAAGCTTCTGAGGCCAGCCTGTGCTAAACAGTAAGTAAAAATCTGTCTCAAAGAACAAAGACAAACAAAAGACACACACACACTCTCACTCACACACAGACTCACCCACACTAACTCACACAATCACACATACACTCAATCACACATACACTTACACAACACACACACATTCACATACTCCCAAGCATACCCACTCATACACACACTCACACACACACACTCACACACTAACATACATCTGCACACTTCCTTAGCACACTCATATATACGAGTGAGGAACTGAGCCTCTTTTCCAAAGTTACTGGCTATTTACATTTCTTTTAAAATGTGGCTATTGCAAGTCATTTATCTTTCTATTTTTGATATTCCTATTATTCTACAGCTTAACGGGATTTAACTCTACTATAGTGTGAGCTCTTGGCTATGACATTTTAATTATCTTGTGTGTGTTGGGGGGTGATGCTCACAACGGCAAATGTGTGGAGGGCAAAAACACCATGCAGGATTTATTCTCTCTGTCCACCCCGTGAGTCCTGGGGATGGAATTCAGGACTTATCATCACCTTTACCCCGACACACACCTCCCAGCCCCTCCCATCCTCCTTCCCCCTCATTCTCCTCTCCCCCTCCCCCTGCCGTCTTCCTGCTCTGCAATCACATTCCAACACCTTCTCGCATTGTCTTTCTCCTCCCAGGGATCAAGTTGATTGGCTTTGCGTTCTTGTTTTGATCTTATGCTGGAAGAGGTGGATCCTTACCAATGGTAAAGGTGTTCTGTATTTTCCTAGTACACTGCATTCTTCTCTTAAGTTTCAACTTCTGATCCATCTAAAAATCTATTTTGAGACACAGCGAACTCTAGGATCTGTTTCCCGGTGAGCCAGCGGTTTCAGCGTCAGCCTCTGCCTTGGCATAGTCTAAACTCCACAGCGATATTTGGGCTCTTCATATGGACTCCTGTACCCAACCCTGTGTAATTGCCGAAGCTTTCTAACATGCCTTGATAGCAAGGAAAACACCTGTGCCATTCTGTGATCAGCACTCCAAAGGCTTATGTACACACGCGCTTGTGTTCACGAGCTGAGGGAGAGGATTGCAGTGTGCATCTGTGCCTTACAGTATGCGTGCTTTCAGGGGGACGGTGAAGCGCCTCTGAATAACTGGGCTAGTCTAGGAGCTGCAGAGATGTTTGTTCAGTGTGAACCAGAGCCGAGCTTGCAGGGAAATGAGGGGAGAGCAGAAGATGCTCACAGAGGAGGCTGACACTCAAAGGCCTGTAGATTGAGATGAGCAGGAAGGAAAGTTGGCTCAGATGGGTCTCAGCTATTTTTAGATACATTTAGGTCCCCTGGCCCAAGAACGTTTCTCAGTTCCCAGCAGCTCACCAGAGTTGCGACTGCCAGATGTATACCTTAGAGCAGATCTCTCAGCTTGGGTCTGGGTGGAGTGCCAGCTGCAGTCAGTGGACTCCTGTTCCCCTGGATGCAGGTTTTTATAACATGTGTTATGTTCCAGTGCGCCATAGTGTTCAAAGAAAGTAAGTCTCAAAACGTAGTCAGCACTCCTGCTCCCAGAGAAGATCATGTACCAGTCCTTCAGCAGGGGCCCGTCTCCATCCAACACTGCTTCTTGTGAACTCACACACACACACACATACACACACACTCTCACACATACACACACTCATACATAACTCACTTATAC